ACGGCAAACAGTAAAATACAATAAACAAAAAGCTTAAATGATCATGATGATAAGGTCATCTGGGTGGCAACAAAAGCTGATTAGAGAAAGCGGTCGAGTTTTATGAAAAAATAGGTTTGGATAGAAATAAGCAAGTGACCTACCCAACTTTTTTAATCAGTTTGTTTATCACAGCTTTAATTTTAAATCGGAGTGGACGCCTATGAAGTTCATTCAAGGACTGTAAAGGCTTCACCTATCATACCAAAAAAACAAAATTTTTTAGAAATGTGGATGTTAATAAAGCACTAAAAATATAGGTGATTTAAACCAGAGATTATTTGAACTGCAAAATGTTATAGGCCTAAGGAGAAATTTATGCATGATATGGGATGGTATCAGAAAGCAAGATAAATGCAAATGAAAAGTTAGAAAATATTGAGACTAACTATGCTGGAGACGAAGATCAGTTTGCCAACAAATGGACAGAGGCTACGAACTATTTGTACACCCAATCTAGCCAGTTGACGGAATGGTGAATGCATGAGGCCAGCAGCTGCTTTCAACGAATGGTCAAAAAGTTGAGGCAAGATTATGGTAAGGGATAGGTTACAAGAAGTGCCGGATTCAGCATCTTTGGCAATCGCGGCCGCATTTTCCCCAACCTCGAGAGGACATGCACTGTTATGTGAAAAGGCAGAGTTCGCTTTCTCTTCCTCTTTCGCCTCTTCTCCCTTTTCAACGTGGCTCAACCAAGTGAAGATAGCGCGGCGAATTCTACCACTACTCAAAAGATTGCAAATTGCCGTCGCTGCGGCCTGTTGTTGAAGAAATAATAATTTAGGCTGGTCATTGTCGGATGAAGAGGAAGAAGGTAGAAAGGGCCAGAGGCGAGAAGTGAGCAAGAAGAGGGCTTGACAGAGCTGAAGAAAAAAATTAGATTTCGATTTAAGGCATAAAATAAAAAATTATGATAGAAGTGATAAGGCCAAGCACTCATAGTAGTGATGAAGCCAAAATATAATATCAATGCCACTATCAACTCTCTAAGAGTTTAGCTGAATAAGTAGTTTCAGGCCCAACTATGGTTTATAAAAGATGAAAACAAAAGATTGACAATATAAAGTCCAAATCCGCCAAAAATTAAGCCGTTCTAGAGCGAAAAACTTATACGATTGGAAACAAAGCAACTTAGTCAAGGCCCACGACCAATCACAAGCAATTATATGAAAAAATTAACTAAAAATCCCTGAAAAAACATCGTCAAGCTACTACACGAAGAATCCTAATTTGATGAGCAAGTCCGGGTCTTTGTGAAAGGTAAAATAGGATTCTTGCGTTCGATAATACACATTACGTTAACTCCGAATATAGAAGCTCAAGAAAGTAAATAAGAATGCGAAGGGTTTAGGCCTATTTCTAAAATATTTAGAGAAAATCTTGCGTTTAAGGCAGGAATAACTGTTCCAGAGGGCTTACAACCTGAAGGTCAGCTATCCTGTATTTAAAGTAATTCCATATTCAGAGCAGAATGGAAGTATAAATACAAGTAACTAAGTTTCGATTAATTTCTTGAGACTGTTGAGGAGATTTTAATTTTATATGAAAAAGGTCGATCTCCTCATAGAA